TTATTAAAGGATGAAATAAATTTAAACAAGAACTAACCTTCAAGAAACCTGAAACCTTTGAACCGCGCCGACTCTCATTGTTTTTGGTTGCTGTTCACGATGGTCGGAGCTGCTGCTTGCTCGTCGGTTGAAGCTGCTGCTCGCCATGGTCTCGCCTGGCTGCTGGCTGTTGCTTGTCGCCTGATAGTTGTCGTCGCCGGTGGTCCTGCAAAGAGATAAAAAGAAGAGGGGAAGAGGCGAAGAGAGGAGAGAAAGAAGAAGAGGGAGGCGGAGAAAAGGGGAAAGGGAGAAAGACGAAGGGAGAGGGAGAAGAATGCATAGAGGAGAGGGAGAGAGATGGGAGGAGGCTGGTTTTGGGGCTGCTAGTCGCAGCTGCCTGGCAGCTCGCCGGTCACTGTTGTGCGGCTAGCGGGAGGCGCTGGAGAGAGTGGTGGAGGTGGAGGAGAAGAGAAGGGAGAAAGAAGGTACGAAAAGGGAAAGGGAAAGAAGGGAGGAGAGACAGGCGGTGTTGGGCGGAGAAGGGAAAGAGGGATGGTTGGAGAGGAAGAGGGGGAAAACGAGAAGGGAGAGAGGGAGAGAGGCGGCGGCTGGTGAGGAAGGAAGAGGAAGAAGAAATGAGTTAGAATTTTAGGTTTTGGGGTCTTTTGATGTTTAGAGAATAGGAGATCTAATCACAACCACTGATCTAATTTGAAATGAAGGGCTAGGATTCAATTAATAAAATAGATAGATGAGATTAAGAGATGAGATGTATTGAAATTAGATTGGGTTGAATATGGAATGGCTACAATTGCAATAAAATGGCTAGAATTGAAATGAACAAGAGGCTATGATTGAAATAAACTCGAATTCAAGTGGCTAGAATTGAAAGAAATTATGACAGAATAGGCTAGAATTTAAAATTTAGGGAAAGTGTAGAAATTACTATTTAATTAAAATACTACATATATTAAAATATTTTTATATAATTGAAAATCATTTATTTTTTTAAAAACATTTGAAATTCATTAAAAAATTTAAAATATAAATATATTTATAATAATTTTATAAAGTAAACGATACTAAAATATATAAAAAAATTTTTGAGAAAAATCGACTAAAACTTCAAAACTTTAAGTAAATTTTAAAATACGTATTTAGTCGAATATAATCCTAAAAATGGTTAAAGGTCGGTCAAAATTGGTTGTCAACAGGGACGTATCGCTTGCTGCGATGGATACTATATATATTGAGGGACGTATCGCACGTCGCGATGGTTACTATTATCGAGGGTCGTATCGCACACCGCAATGGATGCATGGACATATATGTCCCACATAGGTCCCAGACTGAGAGACACGGGTGTGCATCACTAGGTTAAACATGCATCATTATACTTGACATTGCATTCCATTGCGTTGCACATACTTTATTATCATTAGTGAACTTGATATTGTGTTTTGCTGATCTTGTGAGTGCCTTTATGTGAAACTTGTGATTGATGAATCCCGAGCTTGTTGTTGAGGATATGTAATTTGTTAAAGTGTTGTTGAGAATATGTAATTTGTCCAAGTATTGTGTTGAGGATATGTAATTTGTCTAAGTGTTGTTGTTGAGCTATGTTCTATGTGAACTGTGAGTTGTTAGGTTGAGCTGATTTCTATGCATGTTGTTGTGGAGGTTCGCTTCGGGTAGTAGGAGTACCCGTATTTCATCCCCTTAGCTTGTGTTTATAAGTTTACTTGTTGAGTACCGTGTGGTTTGGTACTCACCCCTTGCTTCTACAATTTTTTTTAGGTTACTAACTCAGACCTTTGTGATATATTCTTTTTTTTCGAGGCTTCTTGGAGAATTATGAAGTAATTGTTTGCCATCTTAGCAGACCTTCTTACTCTTGTTTATGATTTTGTTTAGCTCTAGAAACAATGTCATATGAGATTTATATTTTCTTTTAATTCAAGTGTAATACTTTAGATACTTGTACACATGACAACCATGTTTTTGGGGTATAATTTAAGTTGATAGTAATTTTTTTTTGCATTTTTATTGTAATAGTTGAGTTTTAGGCTGAATTGTCTTGGCAAGATAAGACGAGTGCCATCAAGTCCATTTTTGGTTCGTGACATCCGTTTGTATATTTTGTTTGCAAATATACAAACAAGGTAAGTATATACAAATTCTGCATTTATACATATAAGAAATTTTCAGAACTATTGTGCTTGTCAATATACAAACATAGTAATTTATTACTCCCTTCGTTTCAAAAGGATGACCTAGTTTGACTTGGAACAGAGTGTAAGAAAAGAAAGAAAACTCTAATCTTGTGGTTCTAAATTAAAGTTATGTCAAATGTACCAAAATGCTCTTTAATCTTGTGGTCTTAAATATGACACGTGGAAAGTTAAAGTTTAAGTGTTGCCAAAAAAGGAAAGGGGTCATTCTTTTTTAAACAAACTAAAAAGGAAATAGGAACATTCTTTTTGAAACGGAGGGAGTGTATATATATATATATATATATATATATATATTTATTTATTTATAAATTGTATATAAATAGCTTGAGTAAGCATATACAAATTCTAATTTTAAATTAAAGACTGAAATATACGAATTTTGGATTACACTAATTAGGTACCCGACCTAGCTAGGTGCTTGATTTTAATTGTGATCATACTCAATTTAATCAATAGTCTAAAGTTAAAATTTACAATATGTCATAAATTTTAAGATAAAATTCTAAGTAGGATTTTTGTTTTGTATTCACTCGGTCATTTTTTTAGATGGTAAATTGTAAATTTACATACACTTTTTTATTGGACGTGTAGATGTATTTTATTCTTAAAAAATTATAGTGAGTATGAGTGCGTTGAGTATCAGTTTTTCAAGTTTTTAAATAACAAATTTCATTATCTTCTTGTATATTAACATAAATATAATTTTCAAGACTTTTTAATATCAAATTTCATTATTTTCTTTTATTTAACACAAGAATGCATTACCAACATAAGCTATGGTGCACTGGTGGGATTGCTTTACCCTTAACCAGATGTCTCAAATTCGATCCCTGGGTATGGAGAAAATCTTATTCGGAGTGCCATCTCCGAAGGGTCCTGGTGCGATCCAAATTTAGTCGAAGCCCTAATATATACTCCGAACACCGAGTGAAAAACAAAAAAAAAACAAAAATACATTTAATGTTCTTTCAAAGTTGAATTTTAATTTCTATATTCCAAATTATATTTCAGTTTAATTTTTAGGCAAACACATTCTTATAACCATTAGAAAATGGGATAATGCCCAAGTACCCCCTCAACCTATGCTCGAAATCTCAGAGACACACTTCTACTATACTAAGGTCTTATTACCCCTTGAACTTATTTTATTAATAATTTTTTACCCCTTTTTAGCTTACGTGGCACTATCTTGTGGGCCCAACGATTGTTGACTTTTTTTTGAACTAGTGCCACGTAGGCTAAAAAGGGGTAGAAAATTACATATAAAATAATTTCAGGGGGTAATAGGACCTTTGTATAGTATAAGTGTGTCTCTGAAATTTCGGGCATAGGTTAAGGGGCTACTTGGGTATTTTCCCTTAGAAAATTAATGTCTCAAAAGATCACAATGAATATTTAATTTGTATTGTCATGACATTAGAGATCTAGTAAATTCCTTTATAGTTTTTAAAGTTTTTAGTTAGAATATTTTTTTTTATTTTGTTTTTGTAGAACTTTGCCTACTATTTTAGGACCTTGAATTAAATTACTTAAATATTATCTCTATAAATAAGATTTCGGATAACAAATTCAAGGTATTGTATTTCAATAAATGGCTAACATTTTATTAATCTGAAAAAAATACTTGATAAAATAAATAAAGTGTAAAGGATAAATATAATTTATTTATTTTTTGTTATATTTCGTGTGAATCTGAAGTGCTTCGTGATATAAAACATCGAACATAGATATTTGTTTTAATGAATTAATAATGATATAGTTATAAAAAAAAATAACACAATTCAGTATTATCAATATTCAAAAGTAACTCAATAATGCAAAATGTAACAATATTTTTTAAAGATTTATTTATGAAATTTTTTAAAAATAAATGGAAAAAAATATAAATTCAACCGAAAATATTAATCTCTCTGTCCCTTTTTAGTTGTCCAATTTTAAAGTGACAAACATATTAAGGTACCAATTATTATTATAGGTTAATTACAATTTTACCCTTAACTTAAAAGATTATGCAATTTCTCGAATATAATAAATCTTGTTTCAAAAAACATGCATTACAAGAGTAAAATTACATTATTTCTTAATATATGTACAAAATAAAAACGTGACATATAAAATGAGATGAAGGAAGTAATTATTTATCATAATTAATATTGAACATTATGGACTTTTTGGCCAACTAATTAAGATTTAGCTAACTTTTAGAACTATTCAAATCTTAGTTAATTATTAAATGAAAAAAAATAATATATAATTTGCTGTTGACATTAAATTTTAATCGATTTTTAATCATTTTAGAAATATTATTTGATTAAATATGTATTTTAAAATTTATTTACTATTTAGAATTATAATCGATTTTGCTTGGAAATTTTATATTTTAGTATGTTTACTTTATAAAACTATCGTAAATATTATTAAAGTATTTTAAAATAATTAATAAATTTCAAATGTTCTAAAATTCAAGTGATTTTCAATTATATAAAAATATTTTAATTTTAATCAAATAGTAAATCCTAATTTTTCCTCAAAATCATTTAAATCTTGATATATTCTATTTTAATTTCTTTCAATTCTAACCACTCGAAATTCAAATTTTATATCAATTATAAATATCTTTTTTCAATTCTAATCGATTTTATTATAATTTTAACTATTTCATATCCAATCGAATTTAATTTTTATGACTCCATCTTTTGATATCATTCATCCATTTAATTAATTAAATCCTAAATTAAATCGTAGCCCTCATTTGTTCTAAAATCAATGGTCTAGAGTTAAATCTTCCATTCTAAAGACCAAAACCTTTTTTTCAGTCTCTTCCTCTCCTCCCTCTCTCCACAGCCGCCCCTCTTTCTCCTCCTCACCGCTGCTCCTCCGACCACCGCTGGAGCCAGCGAGCCAGGCGGTGCCGCCTTATCCCTTCGCCTCTTCACCCCGGCGCCCCTCTCTTCCTCCTCTCCTCCGCTTCTTCCTTTTCTTTCCAGCAGAAAGCAGCGACTGGTGAAGCTGCCAGCAAAAGACAGAAGCCTCCGACAGTAAACAACAGGAGCAGCAGGAGACGACACCAGCAGGCTCCACCGGCATCAACCAGAAGCGCCCAACGGCAGCAATAACTTCGAGAAGCAGCAGCAGCTACAACGGACAGCAGCTGCCACTGCCTCTGTTTGCCTCCGTCTTCTATCTTCTCCAGCCAGCAGCAGCCGACAAGACCATCAGCAACTCCGACCAGTTGAAGATCCGGTGAGGCTCGAGATTTCAGGTTTGTTCAAAACGATCTCGACAGATCCAGTGAGGTGTTTTCTGTTTATTATCCATCTATCTCCTAACATTTTTACTGAATTAGATTATGATTTTCTGATATCCTCTATAATTGTTTACTCAAAAATAAATAAATAATGGTTGTCAATCTAGTTTTTTTTTTAGCATGATTTGTTGGATCCCTTGATTGCTAAGTTGACTCAGATATTGTGTAAAGCCTCGATGTTGTGTTGTATATTGATTTTATTTGATGTTAGCAGTCGATCCTGACTAAAATTGATAGTGTACTTGTTTCAACATGAGATTGTTTGGAGGATCACTGATTTATTGCATAAGTTTGTCTCCAAATTTGCCCGTTAATATCTATGATAAAACCAGCAATGTAAGCTGGAAAACTTCTCACTACTCCATTAATGGAGGTTGAGCTATAAACAGCAAAACGAAAGAAGAAGAAGGTGCCTTTTGATTTAGAATCCTTGCCTTGATCAATGTAATGTATGTGTATATATACACATCAATGAGAAACAAACTAACAGATTTAACAAATCAACAAAATACAAAAAAATGTGAATGCTAACTAACTATAACCAACTAACTAACTACTTGAAGTGAATAACCAACTATAACTAACTAACTAATTAGTAACTAACTCACTAATTAAACTACTAACTAATTAAGCTAGTTTTATCACCCCCCTCAAGTTGGAAGTGAGCTACTTACAGACAACTTGTTCAGTAAACTAGTATGTTTAATTCCAGTTAATGCTTTGGTGAAAACATCAGCCAGCTGAGAATCTGTTGGAATGTATTGGAGTGTAATGAGTCCTTCTTGTAGCTTTGTCCTGACAAAATGGCAATCAACCTCTATGTGTATAGTTCGTTTATGAAATACTGGATTCTTAACAATGTGTACTGCTGCTTGGCTGTCACAAAATACGTGTATAGGTAAAGACACTGTCACTGAGAGTTCACCAAGTAACCTTTCCAGCCACACTACTTCTCCCACTACTTGTCTCATAGCCCTGTATTCTGCTTCTGTTGATGATAGTGACACTGTGGGTTACTTCTTAGACTTCCAACTGATAGGACTATCTCCCATGAGAACCAAATGACCACTCACAGACTTCCTTGAATCAAGACAAGAGGCCCAATCTGAGTCACAATAAGCATTGATAGTGATATCAGGTTTATTATTGATAAAAACTCCTAAAGTAGGATCATGTTGTAGATACCTGAGTACATGATAAGCTGCCTTTAGATGAGGCTCTCTAGGAGATTGCATGAATTGGCTAAGATGCTGGACACTGTATGCTATATCCATTCTTGTGTTGGCAAGAAAATTAAGCTTGCCTACTAATTTTCTGTAGTAAGTAGGATCTAATAACAATTTGCCTTCTGTGAGCCTCAGTTTCTCAGTAGGATCCAATGGTGAGGTGGTAGGCTTGTAGTGCATAGAATCAAATTCCTTCAAGAGATCAAGAGTAAACTTTCTCTGTGAAATGAGAACACCATCCTGTCTATACAATATTTCTAATCCAAGAAAATAATGTAATTTGCCTAAGTCTTTTATTCTGAATTTCTCATGCAAGAAGAACTTCAAAGACTCAATCTCCTTTGTATCAGTACCAGTTAAGATAATGTCATCAACATATACAGCCACAAACACTAAAGATTTTCCATTTTTCTTGTAAAACAGTGAGTAATCACTGTCTGAATGGATGTAACCCTTTGAACAAAGGCTATTGGCCAGTTTCTCATACCATTGTCTACTGGCTTGTTTTAGACCATATAAAGACTTCTTCAATTTGCAGACCATATCACTACTGTCCACTACCAGTCCTGGGGGTAATGCCATATACACCTCTTCATTCAAATCACCATGCAGGAAGGCATTATTGACATCCAATTGATACAAGTTTCAACCTTTCTTAACTGCCAATGAAATTAGTGTTCTGACTGTAGTCATTTTTACCACAGGTGAGAAAGTTTCATTGTAGTCTATCCCAGCTTGTTGAGTATATCCTTTCACCACTAGTCTAGCTTTGAACCTTTCTATGCTCCTATCTTCCTTATGTTTAATCTTATACACCCATTTGCATCCAATGACATTCTTTTCTTTTGGCATTTTAACCAGCTCCCAAGTATTATTAGCATGCAATGCATCAAATTCTTGTTTCATTGCTGCTTGCCAAGCTGGATTCAGGATTGCCTCTTCATAAGATGTGGGTTCAATATCATGTGAAACATTATGAATCAACTGCTGACTCTCAGAACAAAGTGTAGAGAAACAAACATGATCAGGGTGATTTGTGAATGATGTGAGTGAATGTTGAGAATCAGTATTATCTATAGGTGAAGAGGAATGTAGCTTAGGTAATGAATAAGTATAGTCTTTTAAGTAGCTTGGAGGGTGACAAGATCTAGTTGTCCTTCTAGGTGTAAGGGATACACCATCAAGGACAGGTACATTTGGTTCAGTAGAAGATGTTGTAGGTTCAGTAGAAGATGCTGTAGGTTCAGTTATAGGTGTATTTTCAGATATAGGATCTTGATCACAAGTAACTTCATCCAGTGTGTGAGAATTCAACATTTCATCATTAATAAAAGTATTTGTTTTACTAGACATGCAAGGCAACTCATCAGAATAATGAACAAGGAATTGTAATACAGAATTAAAGTTGGAACCAGCAGGAGCAATAACAAAAGGAAGAACAGTTTCATAGAAAAGAACATCTCTAGACACATGAATTCTCTTGGTAGCCAAATTTAAGACCTTGTACCCTTTTGTATTAAAAGGATATCCAATGAAAATGTGAGGCACAATTCTTGGTTCAAATTTGTCTTTATGAGTTCTTAAAGTAGTTGGAAAACAAAGACATCCAAAATTTCTAAGATGAGAATAAACTGGTTTCTTTTGATATAACAGCTCATATAGGGATTTCCCTTGAAGTAGTTTAGTAGGCAATCTATTAATCAAATAAGTGGTAGTCAGCACACATTCTCCCCAATATCTCATACGCATTTTTGATTGAAACAATAGTGCCCTTGCTGTCTCAAGAAGGTACTTGTGTTTCCTTTCTACTACCCCATTTTGTTATGGTGTGTAAGGACATATTTCTGATGTATTATGCCTTTTTCTTGAAAGAAACATGTTGCTTCAGTACTTGAGAATTCTAGGCCATTATCAGACCTGATGGTTTTCAATCTGGTGTGAAATTGGTTTTCTATTAAAGATATGAAGGCTTTTATAGTATGTAGAGCATTACTTTTACACCTAAGAAGCTGTGTCCAAGTAGCTCTACTGTAGTCATCTACCATAGTTAAGAAGTAATGATATCCATCATGTGTTGGTACATTATATGGTCCCCATAAATCAACATGCAACAATTCAAATATTGAACCAGTTGCAGTGACACTTTCTGGAAATGGCATTCTAGTTTGTCTAACCATTGGACAAATTGTGCAAGTGAAAGGTTGCTTGTTAGAAAACTTCAAAGGAATGGTATATATATTTTTCATTTTCACAAAAGGTACATGTCCTAATCTATCATGCCATAAGAATTCATTGTCTTGACTGAGAGAAAAATTAGCAGCTGAATTTGAAATATGATCAGTGGAACAGGCTTCTTTATTGATTATATGAGAATGTCTTACACATGGTGGTGAAGACCTTTTGCAGTAGTTAAGAAGAGAAACAGATTGACAATTTTGATGAGAAGTAGCATTATCATTTACAGATAGAATGTGACACTTTGGACAAAAGAAATACAAACCATTCTTTGCCTTACCAAGTGCCAGAGGGCTCTTCAGAGAAGGGCCCTGCAGTAAGCAAGAACCACTGTTAAAACTAACTATTCCTTTGAGTTGATTAACTAAGCAATAAACTGATATTAAGTTGAACTTGAAGCTAGGTATGTACCACACTTTATACAGAATTAATGTTGAATTCAAACATACATCACCAATTTCAGTCACTTTAACTTTGTATCCATTTGGTAAGGTGATTAAGAAAGGATAAGGTAGAGTCTTAAGGTTTGTGAGATTGTCTTTTGTATAGGTCATATGGTGAGATGCCCATGAATCAATGATCCAAGAGCCAGCAGTCAATTTATCACATTTACATGACAAATCACCTATCTTACTGATGGAAGAATAGCAAGCAAGTATACATGCTAGGCTTGCAGCTCCACTTGACACATTGTTTGAGTAATCAGATTCATTTCCAACATGCAGGGTTCCAAGCAGATTAAGTAATTGTTCATATTGGCCCTTTGACAGATTCACTGGTACTTGTTTTCCCTGCTCAAAATTCTCTTCACATTGACTTCCATCACCTTCAGAAGTATGTACATTTGCTGCAGATCCTTTGCCTCTTCCTCTTGGATTTCTTGTGTTGGTTGGGTAACCATGGAGTTTGTAGCAACTGTCTTTGACATGTCCAGTTTGTTTGCAATATTCACAAAACATATTTGATCTATTTCCAGTACTAGAGTTCCCCCTAAAAGTATTAGTATTGTTGTAACCAGTGCTGTTATAGCTCCCATTACCCCTACTTGTGCTTCCTCTATAAGAACTAGAATTAGTTGCATTATTTTGAGATGACATAAAAGCATTCAGTGAGGTAGAAGCATTCAGTGAGGTAGACTCCAAAACCATATGATTTAGAGGCTTCATTTCCCTCTGCCTTTCCTCCCGTGATAGTATAGCAAATGCCTGTGCCATTGTAGGCAAAATAGACATCATGAGAATGTTCCCTCGCACAGCAGTATACATTTCGTTTGGACCCATTAGTATAGTAACCAGTAACATCTAAAGTACCTTGTACCAAATCATTTATTTCCTTCTGTCTGTCTTCTGTCCTGCTCAGCCTTATACATTTTTACTTTTCCTCCACAAGTACACACACAACTACACTGTGAGTTAACATCAATTGCACTCATTTCCTCCCATAATTTCTTCATTTTAGTATAGTAACCAGTAACATCTAAAGTACCTTGTACCAAATCATTTATTTCCTTCTGCAATTGATATAGTTTGCATCCATTAGTCTGATCATATCGATCCTCCAATTCCTCCCACAGTTCCTTAGCATTGTTAACATACTGTAGGCTATCTCGCAGCTCTGGGGAGAGGGAGCTTAGGATCCAAGATGTCACCATATCATCACATCTTTCCCATTGCATGAATGATGGATCTGTAAAACTTGGTTTCACAATCTTACCATTAATGAATCCTGTTTTATTCTTAACAAACAATGCTCTAAGAACTGTTCGTCTCCATGATCTATAGCTAGTTCCATCAAACACCACAGGAAGCAAAGTAGAAGCAACATTCTCAGATGGATGTAGATAGAAAGGACTATTGAAGTCTGGTCGTTTTAAAGAGTTATTGGTGTTCACATCAGTTGATGTATCACCCATGGAAAATAGATTGACAGAAACAGAGTGCAACAAATGGAGATTGATAAATCAGCAACAAGTAAGGAAAGAAACAGAGAAGAGAAGAGAAGAAAACAAATCGAAGAATCGACTTGAACAAGAGAAATCGATGAATTGATTAACAGCTAGATCAAGAGATCTAGTGTGAGCAACCAGGCTCTGATACCATGATAAAACCAGCAATGTAAGCTGGAAAACTTCTCATTCCTCCATTAATGGAGGTTGAGCTATTAACAGCAAAACGAAAGAAGAAGAAGGTGCCTTTTGATTTAGAATCCTTGCCTTGATCAATGTAATGTATGTGTATATATACACATCAATGAGAAACAAACTAACAGATTTAACAAATCAACAAAATACAAAAAAATGTGAATGCTGACTAACTATAACCAACTAACTAACTACTTGAAATGAATAACCAACTATAACTAACTAACTAATTAGTAACTAACTCACTAATTAAACTACTAACTAATTAAGCTAGTTTTATCAATCTAAATGCGATAGCTGCATATTGTTCCTCTCCTAATTGATAATTTGTGAACATTAGCTTGCTTAATTTTATCATAGACTATTATATAATGGATTCACTTGATTAGAATTTAGGTTTGGTAATTAAATGTATTTGATTCCGTGATTTTGTTAGTATATTATTTACTGTTATCCTTGACTGACCTCCATTAGAGGTTTATACATGGTAAAATATGGTGTTATTATATAGAAAGTATATGTGCTTCATTACTTGTATAAAATTGTAATGTTTTCTTTTTAAATATATTGGTCTTCTTAATTATATCGCATTGGTGTTTACTGGTTTAGTTAAGGTAAATAATGTTGCTGATTTTGTTTGAGTGGGGTAAGGAAATAAAATCTCAAGATTGCTTTTAATTTATTGTATTTCCTATTTTGTGCTCCTATCTAATTTCAAACGGCTAATGTTTGTAGTTATGGTAAATTATGATTTGATTGTATCAGTGCGATTATGGTAAATGTTTGTTTTTTCCTTCTAGAGATAATTCTTTGTCCATATGTGTCATTTATTTTTGGTAAAGGACCTCTATTGATTGCTTTATATTATTTGTTTAAGAAAATTGCCAAGATATGCTCTTCTTAATTTATTTTCTCCCTTAATTATGTTCCCCTCTTTGCTATATAAACAGACACATCTTTCATTCTTTTTCTCATCCATGCTCACTCTTACACTCTTGAATGCTTACTCACTCACGCTCTATAGGCCTTTACCATCAAAACTCTATTACACATTGCTCAAGGATTCAACATTTGCACATTCTAGCAAGTAATAAATTCTCCCTACTCTAAATGAAAAGAAATAAAAACAAGTGTCTTGTGAATTCTAAGAGGTTCTCCAATCGATTTTGCTCTGGCCGGATCGATTCTTGGAGTAGAGTTCGTCTACATTGTTGACATTAGTTTTACCAAACTAGGTTTGTTTTCCGCATTAATCTTGTTCTTTACTTTGAATTATTTGTCATGTGTGTTTGTTGTATGTTCAAAAACGAACAAAAGGAAGCATCCGGTTTAGCTTCTTACCCCTTTTGCTCTATTTGTGATTTCATGCTACTCCTAATTGTCAGAATGCTTGTATGTCTGTCTTTTACTTATATATGTGAAACAATTAATATTGTTCAAGTGAGTTTGATAATTAGTATTATTATATCATTGTCTTTATGCATTGTATACGCCTGTATGTTCTTCTTCTTTAGCAGGTTTGGACATTCTGTCCAATTTGAAGAGTCGCCCGGTTAGGAGATTTGAATGAAGTTATTATTATTATTTTTTAAAGTTTTTTTGGGTGTTGGGTTCGTTCCTATTCGGTTCTGTAATAATCCTTCAATAACTCTTCAACTCTCTCGTATTTGAAATAATTTGGTAGATAAGCTATAAGGGGATGTGTGTGTGCGCGCTAATTGTTTTCTTTGCTTATTCTAATTTTAATATGTGATTGATACAAATATTTTGTCTATTACTAATGTCATTAGAATAGGCAACATATTGGAATCACCCAAATGATCTATTTAAAATCAATTATTTGTTTGTCTTGTTTAATTAGCTTGAATCAACGGGAGCTTGATAACCTTAGTAAAGTTAGTAACCTAGATCTTACCTTTTATGTGTTAATAATTTTTTCTGCATGCTAATGAACTTAACAAGAGAAAGCGAACCTTTTAAAAGTATCGATGCCATAATTATTAATGTAAACCTTACTAATTTCGGCATGTTCACCTAGAAATTATGTTTATAGGTATTATAAATTAACAAGGTTTCTACATGCCTAATGTTTTGTTTAACTAATTTAAGTTTTGATAATGAGTTTTAAAATAATTAGATTCTGATAACTTTTGCATGCTAAAATCAAATCTTAACAATTTAGTAGGCTAATTGGTTAGATGTTAATAATTTTATGTGTTAATAATTTTTCAGCATATTGATCATCTAGAAATCATGTTAATATGGTTGTAGATAATTTTCAGCATATCAATAATATAAGAAAAAACAAACAAAAAAATTGTTGTGCATATTTTCTGTCAGATTATGCTTTTCTGTCCTTTCATAGACGATTTATCAGATTATACTTCATCCTTTCTGTTTCATTTCACAGGTTGGCAGCAACAACTATGGCGGGAGTTGTTAATAAGTTCTTTATTACATCGTTGATTATGTGGGCAGCTCCAGTTGCAATTTTGTATGCCTTCAACCACAACTTAATTCCTGGTAAGCTTACCCTATTTTTATTTTTTTAAGAAAAGCTTCCCTGAATTTTTCTGTTAAAAAATTTACTTTATAAAAATTTTATTTAAAAGTTTGGACTATCATATGTGCGAGAAGTTGATAGCCCGTTTAAAGTAGGTATTGTTTGGTCTTAGATAACTAATGTGTTTTCTTCTGACTAATTCATTATTTAAAAATCTTTGACTATGCCTTTCTTTTCATTTTATGCAACCTTTTCTTTTTTGTGCTTTTACATTTTATCACAGTGGTATTCCGTTCATATTCCCATCAGTTCATGGAACATGAGAGTGAGTGTGACAGATTTATATGCCCATTTATGCTCAACTATTGTTGCCCTGCAGTCTTTGGTGCTTGCGATGATAATTTCTTTGCCTATCTGAGTCAATGTATCCAAAGGAACTAAAGGTGTTTCACATTTTTTGTCTTAGTTCCAGGGACAATTATTGTATGCTGGCTTCACATTATGTTCTGTCAATTGAATTAATGGGATATTAGGGACGGTTTATAGTAGTTATATGTTATGCTAATTGTGTGATTATACTGACATTGATCTCTGCTTGAGAATGGGAGAGGTTGGTCATGGTGAATAGAGAATTCTGAAGTCTTTTGTCAAATATTCAAATGAAAAAGAAGAAAACTTGTTTTGTTGGCTGGGGGTTGTAAGGTTTGGTAGATCACTCTTAAGTGTGCCCCTTGCTTATGTCTTAAATAGCAGTATAGCACACACGATATTTTTTTTAGTTCTTTTTTTGAATGACCGTGGTGTCCAACCCAGCTTTTCTTTGAGTAATATTACTTTGTATTAAGACAAGTACTTAGGTAGTATTGAAAAACCAATTTACAAATAGAATAGATATAGGATATACCAGATATGAACCAAACCTAAGTGGTGCCTGGGACATCTAGGATTGATTCAGTGTCACCAGAACACAGTTTGGTGAACCAAAAACAGGAAAGCAAAATGCATTTTAGCTTAATACCCTGTACTAAACTCCTCCTATCCTCAAAACATCTATCATTTCTTTCCTTCCAAATAGTCCACCAAATACACGATGGGGTGATCCTCCATCTTTCTCTGTTTCTTACACCTGCTCCGGCTTCCTCCTCCCAGCTAAAAAGAGTGTCAGCAATCTTGCATTCTTGCTTGGCATTGTCTAGGCTATGCCTTTGAATATTGATGAAGATATTCCATGGGAACAAACGGTTTACTGTCTCAGCTCCTTTTCACAAGGAAACATCTAAAGCAGAGAGCAATATTCCTTTTGATCAAATTTTCATGTGTCAAAACTGCTTCTTTAGCTAGAAGCCAGGTGAAAGTGTGAAACAAGATACTTTATAAGGTATCTTAGTCTTCGTAATATGCTCCCAAGGCCAATTGGTACTATGTGGCTCTATCTGGTTCAAAATCCTATACCCTAAGTGACCTTATATGTTCCACTTTCATGTCCGCTCCATCATAGGTAATCTGCACCTTCTTGCAACCCTTGAAAACTCTCCAATTGGTTAAACAGTTCCACAAGTCTATGTATCTCCCAATCATTCAACATTCTTCTGAATCTAAGGTCCCACCAAGGTCCCACCCTTGTTATGTCCACATCTCGGCATACGATTTATGTTGGTGTGAGGGTATAACATATAAATTTGGAAACATTTCTTTAAAGATCCTAGTCCCTATCCATTTGTCTTTCCAAAACCTAGTCTTGTTCCCGTTAACACTCTGATGTGGGAGTGTTTTTTGGGAAAAGGTCAATAGCTTCTGATAGTCTTCCAAAGATTGATTCCATATGGAGTATTGACCTCCTTGGAGACTCAATTGTCCTCTTCCCCATACTTGCTCTTTATGGCTCTGCTCCATAGTGTTTGAGGAGCCTGTGAATATCTCCAGAGTCATTTGAGCTTCAAAGCTTTGCTATGATGCTTCAAATTCCTGATGCCAAGTCCCCCTTGTCTCTTGCTTCTGATGATTTCCTTCCACTTGCCTAGGTGTAAAGCTTTTTCTTACTTGTCCTTGCCAAAGGAAGAATATCCTGATCTTGTCAAGTCTTTGAATGACTGTAGAAGGGATTGGGAATAGAGAAGCATATACGTAGGCATCCAAGACAACATTTATCAGAGTGGAAGATGATGAAATATAGCAGGTACTTATGACAGATTTGTGACTAGTTCGCCTCCTGGCGCGGCCAAGTGTAACTGTGCTGAGCTTCCTGGATACATATCTGGCTGATTACCCAATCAATGCTTGCTGATTCCTGCCCTATCTATTAATATTTTTATATAACAAAAAATTGTCAATGAAATGCATGATACGATAGCTAGGAGAAGGGAAGTATAATATCCATGCTATGGCAAATGGCCTAGCTCGAGTGGCAAAACGTGGAAGATTTGTGGCTTACGTCGCAGGTTCAAGCCCCACACCACGCAAAGTGAAGCCTGGTAATTTAAGTGAGGGTAGAGGGGAAGGCGGCGGCCCCATCATCCACTGAGTTTAGAAGGCTGTGATTGGTCCAAAGGGCGGGTCACAGACGAATTTCTCAGTTATCAAAAATATTTAAAAAAATATCCATGCTATGTCTTTCTCATAAAAAATATCCATGCTATGTAGACCAAAGAACCTGGATAATTTTATAAAGAAGCTACTGGAAACTTCCATGCAATTATTATGAAATGTTCTAGATGGATGAGTTTTTGAGACACTTTTTGTTTATGTAATAAGGGAATCACAACAAGATATTGTCATCTTAGATTATTAAGTTGAAATACTGAGCAGTTAGATGGCTTAACACTATCTCCTGTTAATTCTAAACCTCTGCAGAATCTCTGTTCTAATGACTTCTATAAACATTTAACCTTTTTCATCTTTTGTTTCTCATTATCATAATAGTTCTTTTTGTTGAGTACTGTTTGGATTTACAAATCAATTCCCATCGACAGCACTGGAAGTATGGAATGCCATTTATCTCATAATTGAAGACCTGCTGTATGGTCGATGACAAAATATGTTTTATCTTAACTGACTGTAGTAGTAATTCAAGTCTATGTCTTACGAGTAAATTTTGTAAATTTTTGAGGTTTCTCTATGATTACGAGTACTTAACTTGCTCCTGAATAGTTTTGTATGTCGTACAAATTTCACTCATTTCAAGTTCTTTTTCCCCTTTGTTTTGAAATGGTAACATAATTCATTAATAATAATAAGTTCAGCATAATGATACTGCTAAGAGAACCGAACCCTAACATACGAAACTTCCAAAAAGGAGAGAAACCAAAAGCAGAAGACAAAGTCCTGTGTCAGTTACAAGGACCCAATGAGGTCAAGTAAGGACATCTTGTACTAAAGCTTGTTTACACCAAAAGTGAATAAAAATATATAATTCATTTGAATCTCCTGTTCAGAATCTGCCGAGTCTTCAAAACATCTGGAGTTTTTTTTTCCATCCACACTGTTCACTATATACATGTTGATTCTGGGATGATACCCAACCACTTCTTCTGACTTGGCTTGAAGCTAAGTTGTCTTAGCACACCAAGGAGCCGTTTGGTAGTGTAAGGAAATATAATGCATGCATTCGGTGTGTGTATTAGTAGTACCTTGTTTGATACACTTTTTCTTGCCATGTATAACTAATGTTTAATGCAAGCATTAGTTATACATTCTATTGTGTAATAAGTTGTTTATTGCTAATACCAAGTAATTCTAGGTATTAGTAATACATAGCATGTTAACACTTGCATTAGATCAAATAATTACAAAACTACCCTCAAAGCCTTTTTAAAACATTTCCTAACATTTTCTCCCTTCTCATATGTTTTTATTTTTATTTTTATTAGTTTTTGAATGTTTTTTAATTTGTTGGCGTCTTAATAGACTTTATGGTCTCGTAAATCTTTTTTTTTAAAATATCTAATTTCAAGATAGTACAATCAAAATTTTTACTGTTGTGGCGATAAATTTGATAAAAAAAAATTCTTTGCCAACTTTTCACAATAATATTGACTCAAATAGTACAACTATTTAATATTATTTTTGAAAAAAAAGAAGACCTGATGATATTTTAGTAAAGAAATCTTTTTTAATGTTTTAGCAAAGAACTATGTTACAAAGGAAGTGTAAAAATAAATAGCGTGAACAGTATTTTTGTAAACATATATTTTTATATAAAAATTGTGCAAGCTTTGTTATTTCCAATACATCAAACCAAACGGTGTATAAGAAATAATGCTTGCATAACTAATGCAAGCACTACTAATTGCAAGCATTAGTAATACATCCTATTTTGCATTATTCTTATACACTCTACCAAATGACCCCTAACAGTTCCACAGTATCTGTAGGCACTACCCAACTCAGTCCTTTAATACTCAAAATAGCTGCCAGTGTCTATTGGTTACCCGACAATAGAGGAAAAGATGTTTATTTGTTCCACAATAAAACATTTTGAACATAGATATATTCATCTCTTCATTTAAGCTCACATGTGTCAGGAGAACTTGTTTAACCAAAAACCAGCAAACACAGTTACTTTGCAAGGGGCCTTCAACATCCAGATATGTTTCCATAGCCAGAGCCCTTGTTGGTATACTGAGCTATTTAAAATCATCATACATTTTTGTTGCTATTACATGACAGTCTATGCACTTGCTCAATTGGTCCCTACTTTCTCGTAGTTGTCCAATATCTTGAGGAACTCAGTCACTCTGATTACCTCCCAGTCAAATAGTAGTCTGCTGAAGCTAAATTCCAACTGTGCTGGCTCCATATTTCAGCAATAGAGGCATATCAGGCTGCTGTGCCAAGTAGTACAAATCAGGGAAGCTGCTTTGAGTGGACAATTTCTATCCCCCACCTTTATGCTGACGTTGGGCTTGAGAGTTTGCCGTACTCATAGAGATCTGATAGATCTCCTCACACCAACTCCATAACCACTGCACCTGAAGTCCACTATCCCTCCATCCCATATTTTCTACATATCACTTTCTTCCACAAAGCTCGTTCCTCTAGGGAGAATCTCCAAGGCTATTTCATAAGTAATCTTCTATTATGAAGTCCTCCATCCCTCCAGCTAGTTGTGAGGATTTTCCATTACTTATATCAAGTTTCCAGAACCAAATTGATTTTTCTATATGGATGAGCTAAAGCTGTCAAATTTGATCCATTAATGTTCAACCCCGCCAAGTTGTAAAAGGTTGGGTCAGTAGTATTTTTATTTACTGGGTCAATTGGTGTTGTAACCCAAGATTAGATGTTTCATTTTGGGATACCTAATGGGTCAATCAATCAACATGTGAAGAGCAACACCTGTTTTTTTTTTGAAATAGGTAAGTTGAAGAGCAACACATGTATCTTCTTTCAATTCGTCCGTGTTAACAATAAAACAAGAAATCCATAAGCATGCAATGTTGTAATCATCATTTGTGCCCTTTTACACTTTCATTCGATCCTATCTAATTTTTGAGTATATATTAGTCATAAAATCTTTACTTGCAAAGACTGAGAGAAGCATAAGTTACTTCATAAATTTTTCTCATTTTCAGTTCTAATAAGAAACCGACAGTTAATGAACCATCTATGTCAGGAACAATTATAAAAGAGATTAATGTAAATCTATATAATCATTAAGAATCGTTGTGGAGAGGTGATTAGACAGGACTAGGTGCAACTTCATTTACCGAGGACTTGACTCTAGATAGGAAGAACTGGGTTCGCATATTAGGGTAGAAGGTTTGTAGGGGTGAGTGTTGTCTTGCCTTGTGTAGGTTTAGGTTTGTTAGTACATGTCGTAATCCTAGTTGTACCCTTGTATTTCTTGCCATATGTTGTGTATTGTGTTTCGATTATCACATTATTTTGCTGTTGTTATTGTCTCTTTGATCTAGGATTTACAATTCCTTAAAAACACCTACACATTCTTCATTGTTTTCTTCTTCTTTTACTTGAGTTTGATGCACTTGAGCTGAGGGTCTTTCAGAAACAACCTCTCTACCTCATCGAGGTAGTAGTAAGGTCTGCTTACACTCTACCCTCCCCAGACCCCACCTAGTGGGATTTCAGTGGGTTTGTTGTTATATAATCATTAATACTAATTGAGTAGAGAACAAAAAGTATCTCAGTTGAAATTTTGTAATTTGGCCACACAATTACTCAACTCAGAACTTGTGAATAAGTATTTGGGTCAGTTTTATAATTTGGTCCATGTATAAAGAGAGAATACTCAGGTTATGTTGGGTGGGTTGGATTATGACCCGTTATTTTATGCATATCCACCCAACCCATATTGACCCAAATAAAATTTATCCGTGTTGGATTATGACCTGTTTCATTGACTGACTCAATCCACAAAAAATTGACTGGATCCATCCATTTGCCCCCTCTAGAATTATTGGTTAATACTATTATGGAAATATAAAGAATAAGCACTGGATTTTAGATGGCTTCACATCAGCCTTTTACCCCAAGTGTCAGACAGCCACAAAGCAGAACCTATTAATACAACCAATTATTTTTCACCGGGATGAAAGATTTGAGATAAGGTTTAGTGCTTCATACATTGTTCTAGAGAGAGATCTTTCAACTATGTCTGATGGATATATGAGGTGTGAATCAAACTATGAAATAGTAAATAGTGTCATTGTTATCACAACTATATTACGTCTAAGTTATATTCCCCTGATGTGCATTTCAGAGAGCTGGCAACAATGTTCTTTTCTTGTTCTTCTTGCTTCTATTAGCATTAAGATAAATAATTTCTTTTCTTTTTAAACTAGAAGGCTGATATCTTCATAAGCTTATTATGCTTTTCTGGACTGATTTTCTAAGTGGACTATGTAATTATGATTCTAAACTAATCATTATCAATTTGGAACAGGCGTGACCGATATGTCTCCCCATTCTATGACATTAGTGAGTGGATTCGTTGCTGTCATATCTGTCAATGTGGTTATTGCATTTTATATTTGTCTGGCAATGAGAGAACCCTCAGATAAACATGAGCCTGATCCTAAATTCTTGGCAGAGGCCAAAGCTAGTGTAAAGCAGTTGGGCCAAAATCAAGAAGGGGACTCGTCGAACTCCCGAACAAAAAAAGAGTGAATGTAAGGATAAAGGTAGGCCTTAATGTTCTTGAAGGCATTGGACACAGTTCTAACTTTGTGGGAGTAAGCACAATGATTAAATTTTTTTATAATTTTGATCATTTGCAGGGAGAACTTTGTTGCTAGTTTAACTTTTGGTAATATTGATTTGTTGTGAAGTATAAAATTCCTTATATATTTGGGTTATCCTTTATCTACTTCCTGCAATATTTTTTTTTGTTATTCATTTGTATTTATGCTATCTATATATATCTGGTGCATGAGTTTGTATTTGCTTTATCAGAATATAAGTAATCATTTGAAACTTAACAGGCTCTTTTCTTGACCCTAATTTTTTGGTTACTGAGGCTATTTTTTTTTTTTTGTAAAACATGTTTAGCAGTTCACAATGATGAACCATTTGTTTTTCTGTAAGATTAAGATATTTAAATTTTTTTCATAACATAATGTATGTTTCTTTGAATTAATTTGACATTCTACTTCAAGGGACCTGGTCTATTCTTCAGTGTATTTTTGGGTATTTTAAAATAAAATGATTAGGACTTTCACACACATGACACATACTCCACCTCTCTTCTTGGGGATCATTTTTTTCATTGAGTACATCCATAGATTAAAGTATAATGCTACGTGGTCTATATAAAATTTGAGTTAAGATCTAAGTGTTTGTTGTAAAGGAAGGTACAAGTAGCCCTTAATCTATAACTGAATTTTCAGCATCAGTTCTGTGCAAATATCCATCGTTTATTAATTTCAACTAAACCTTCTTTAAAGAAGTTTAAGCTATACTTGAGTGATCAAATTGAGGAAAAAAATTATTTATGTTTAATGGGTTAATAGTTATAACTGAATATCAATGACAAGTATGAGTATGTGATTAATATATAATATTGGCTATATAACATATTTTTTTGTTGTTGATTGTTATCGATTACTCCCTCCGGTCCCATATTATATGTAACTTGTATTTGAGTTTTTGGCTAAAAACATCTCTCAAATATGACTTAAATTTAATGTACAACCTTATATTATCTAAGTGTACAAAAAACAGTAATAACACGTATCATCCTTCGCGCTATTTTTTAACTAAGAAACTGATTGAACCAGTAAAAAAATATCTTTTTTGTTTAAATTTAGTCATGTCTTAGCCACGATGAGAAGATCAAAGTTAACTAAAATGAATAAGAACATGGATAGGAAATGAATCTTTTATTCTCAGGATTTAATTTTTGTGTGTTTTTAGTTTAAATGTTTATTGCATTATCAAGTAAATTGACTTGCAACAGTATATAAGTCTTGAAATATTTAACAATAGGTTCGATAGTTAGAAAGGTAATGTAAAAAATTTCATTTAGAAAATATTAAGTCCGATTAATTAGAAATTTTTTTGAATAAAATATTTAATACGTACCTTATATACAATGCAACTCACATCTTATAAGATATACATAAATGTTGGAAATTTAGTGATATTATATAGTGTTTTGTTATGAAAATAGAAAAATAATTACTTTATTTGAAATTGTTGAAGTTGGAGTTTGTGATTGGCTATACTTTTTACAAAGAATATTTAGAATTTGAATATATCTTGTCTAAAATGATTTAAACTCTCAATTTCTAAAAATTAAAAAAAGATAACTTGACTAGCTTAACCATGCGTACATTTTTTCATTCAATTTGACACATTTTCTTTTGTTGGTGGCGTGAGTTTCTTACAAAATTAGATAGAAATATGAAACTTGCAACTTTTTGGATAGTGCTAGGACGTTTGTTGTTCACTTATAATCCCTCCGTCTGGAATTATTTGTCATGTTGCGCTTTTCAAAAGTCAATTTGACTAATTTTTCAAGTTAAATTAAATCACATTAATTTGATATTTTAAACAAAAAAATTAGACATTCTAAAACTATATGAAAAGTACTATAAATTGCAATTTTTCGCATATTAATATGATGAAAAATATATCTTAAAGTGTTAGTCAATGTTTATAGTTTGACTCTAAAAATAGAAACCATGACAAACGATTCCGGACGGTGAGAATATAATATAAGGATGTACTTTAAGTTTAGATCATACTTAATGGATGATTTTAGCCAAAAAATCGCTCATATTAAATGTTTGCTTATGACAACTTTATAATAAATGATGAAATGTTAGATTTCAATTGCATTTCGATGACTTTTTAAATTTTAGAGTTTATTTTTGGAGCTAAAATTTTTCACCAATTAATCCAAAAAAAAATTGAAAATCAAGTTTTCCCCACCTCAATTTTCATATATATTTTGTGTAAAAAGTTTTTTTAAAAATATATTTTTATATATAAATTCTTAAAGTAAATATAACAACATTAGAGATGATTTATGTAGTTGTAACCTTCATTTTCCTTTTTTATTTTTAATTTATTTGTTAATATCTTCATTTGTATTATTTAGTAGTATAATATTTGGAACTGAATCCATCTTTGTCTATCAATAGAAGTTGAGACACCTATGAACAAGACTTCTAAATCTGTTGAAAATATCATTGTTGCAAAAAAGGTTTGGGGGGGGGGGGGGGGGAGGGTGGTTCAGGATAAGGTGAAAAAATAAATATTTGAAGTTGAAAATATTTTTTTAAAAACAAACTTAATATTTTGGGGGTAGGGGGTTGGTAGGGGGATGATGGCAGGGGGTTCACGGAAGGCTGAAAAAATAAATATTTGAAGTTAAAAATATTTTTTAAAACTAAAATTAATATTTGGAGGGTGGGGGGCTGATACTGGGTAGGGGGTGGGGATGAAAAAAAATGAAATTTTGAAGTGAAAACATTTTTTTAAAAAACAAACTTACATTTTTTTTTTGGGGGGGGGGGGGGGGGAAAAAGGGGCTGGTAAGGGGGGGGGGTGGGGTTGAAATATTAATAGAGACCCATGTATGAAAATTTTGAAAAATCGCTTCTAAAACTTGGCAACAAACGGTTTCTTGACAATTGAGAAAACTTGCAATACCCATATATGACCCGTAGTTTACCCATAAAATACCCATATTCAAAAGGGAAAATTACGTGGCTAAGCAAACTTATACTTTTTGATTACTCATCGTAGCTATATTTTGCTATAATTACCACTTGCGATAAACATTTACATTAATTACGTGGGTTGACTTCGAGTTTGTATAATTAGTCACCTTTATATGTGTATAGTTCACCAGGATATAAAATACATATGTATGATATACAATTATTTAATCTATATATATATATATATATATACACACACACACACACACAATTCACCTCTCTCTCACTCTCTGCCCTCTCTCGCTTGCCTCTCTCCTCCCTCTCTCAATTTCACTCGTCTCTCTCCTCCCTCTCCCAATCTTGCTTACCATACATACAAATGCATATGTATAATGTACAATTATATACAATTATATACACATACAATTCACCTCTCTGCTCTCTCTCGCTCGCCTCTCTCTCTCGATATTGCTCTCCTCTCTCCTCCCTCTTCCTATCTCGCTCGCCTCTCTCCTTCCTCTCCCAATCTCTCTTTCCATATATACAAATACATATGTATAATATACAATCATCTAACCAATATACATATACAATTCACCTTTCTCCCACTCTTTTACCCCTCTCTGTCGCCTCTCTCCTCTCTCTCCCAGTCTTGCTCGCCTCTCTCCTCCATATAACATGTAGCTACAAAATTGTAAATTATCAAACTATAGCTATGGAGGGTAATTAATTACTTTTAAGTGGCTATATGTTGAAGTTTTCCTATTTAAAATCACTCTTTCAATCCATATTTGATGGACTATTTGAACGGATTAGTGAAAAGTGGACTTAAATTGCGAGCACTAATTGTTGCTACGATGCTCAACAAATATAGCTATCAAAGACATATAAGTGTTTTGATAGTCACATTTATTGAGTATCACAACACAAATAAAAGACAAGTCCCATGATCATCTACCACCAAAATGTTGATAATTTAAAATAGATTTAGAAGACTTCTTCATAGGCGTCTGAACATCGATTAATAGACACAGATGACTTTGTGCCAAATATTATACTAGTTAATAAAGAATGAAGATCTATTAGATCAAACTAAAAATGTCAAAAAGAATACTTTTATTGAAAGTTCAAATGTCTAGATTTTCTTACCATATTATATTAGAATATAAATACCATTTTACTGATTTTGTTACTATAGTTTCAACATCCACTATTAGATCTTTTGCCTATAGCCAGTGTCACCCATTCATTTTTTTTTTAATTTGTACATATTTTTTGGTAAGATTTTAAGTGGATGGTTAACTAGTTGATTATGATTTCACATTATACACACTTGCATGATAGGAATTTAATTTGATTGATGACCAAGTTTGAAATGGCTTTAACTAAAGCAAAATGTTCTTAAAGTACAGTAAGTGACATTACTTGAATTTCGTTGGTCATCTTTTTTTTTTTTTTTTTAAATACTATATCTCCAAAGTGATATTGTTGTAAGCTTAATTGAGTCATACAAATATGTTTTACTTAACAATTAAACTTTTAGATAAGGTTGTTATACTCTGAAATATGATCTTAGCATGCGCTTTCCCCTTGTTACGAAAACAATCAACTATCACCTACTTTAAATCAAGTTGGAATGCTTTATGCACATTCGCTTTCCCCTTGTTATGATACTAAACTTGTTCTTCGCCTATAAACAAGTAATATATATAATACATAATTAAATCCAAATGACCTAATTACATCTGGATTAGAACTAAATTCCAAACTCCAAGCCAAAATCATAATAATCCCATTAGATTGAGGGCTTTTTCCACCATTAATTCTCCTAAAACTACCAATTCGATGGTCACATCACTGAATTAATGTAAATAAATTAAGAAAAAATATTTTTTCAAAATAACCTGAGGCCTTACAACCCAAGATCTTCATAAATCTAGATTTTTCCATCTTTGGATGAATAGAAACCCTCCCCTAAGGCCATAAATAGCACCTCCAAGGCCTAGACATCAAAGTACTAAAATAGGGGACCTTCCACTATAGAGGAAATTAATTCAACCGCTATGACAACTTGATTGGGACAGAAACTCAGAAATCTCTTAAGAAGTTTTCATTCCGCGACACACTTTCGAACCTTCACGTTCTAAGCCAGTCCCTTCACGCCAAATTCAATACTAGAAGTCCTAGTCGCCCGAATTTGCTTTTGAACAGTCC